CATTTACAAGATCGTTGTGATGCATTAACTAAGTAGTTTATTTAACTGTCAGACATGATCTTTATTATCTTAGACGAATATATAAGCGGATTGCTTGGGAAATATTTCATTCGAATGTTGATAATTTTCTGTTAATTTTACTAAGAAATTTTATGATTAAAAAAAAGAGCGCTTTTGAATAAATGATAATTTTCAATTATCAATGGCTGATATTGAAAATGTTATAGAACAAGAAACAGAAATTAATAATGTTGTTGACAAATTAATTAATGAACAACAACAACAAGCGATTATTGAACCAATTATTGCTGAAGAAATACATGAAGAAAAAATTGAAAAAGAAAATCTTACGAATATTCATACATTTCTTTTCGATATTTTAGCATTTTTTTCTAATTTTCAATCAAGTTCAATTGTTGAATATTGTCAAGAAACACAAAACGTATGTTTGTTTTTGGCGAAATAATATTCTCATTATTTATTTCAGTGGAATTATATTCAACATTTTCTTAATGATGAAAATACTCATATTTTACCTATATTCTTTTGTGATCTTCAAGAACGATTTCGTTTTAGTAAACGATCAAGTATAAGTAAATATCTTTCAAAATCTTCACATAGACAATTTAAAAAAAAAATAACGCCTATTTGTATAGTTCTACCGCAGTTAAATCAATCAGTAAAAACTGAAGAATCTTGTATTGGAGTATGTTATTAATATTCTTTTTAATAAAAATAAAAAAAACTATATAATCTTAGATTGGAATAGATAAACCATTTGAAGATGGTGGTGTAATTTTTCTAAAACCAAATACAATAAAATTAACAGATAAAAATTTTAAAAATGTATATTTAAAAAAAGGAAAAAAAAACAAATAATTTTATAATTGATTGTATCCTATAGGAATTAGTTATTTTTTCTATGAATTTTGATCAACAAAATCTTGATCTAATGATAAATTTAGAAACAATTTTACTTAGTTATTTACCATCAATAAAAAAAGCTAATGAATGGAATAAATTAAATTTATTCAATGATAAAACAGATCAAATTAAATTAAATTTAATATATCAACTTGAACAAAATGCAAAATTTTTTCGAACAATACATAAATCATTTATTGATTGTATTCAATTACAAAAAGTACCTATACGTTTACGACATGATACACAAGAAATTATTAATCCAAATTCACTTTTACGTTTTGTTCAAGATACAGAATTAGTTCAACAAGCTGAAGAAACAATTATTGAATGGATAAAAGATATTGATCATGTATATATTACAAGGAAATTTAAAACTTTTCAAAGAGAAAATTGAAATTTTAATTTCTCCTATGCCTAGGTCGATCATTTCGACCATCTGAAACGGCGTGATTACTGTCCCAGGATGAGTATTACAACAGTCGTTAACGGCCATGTATGATGTCAGTTGTCATCATATTCGTATAATCCGGATAAAAAAAATATTATTAATTTTTTTTTAATAGGCAGTGATCAATCGATTATAGAGCATTAGAAAGTGTTTAGTGATAATTTTAAGATACTTACGTTGCTACGATAAAAAAACAGTGTGAAACGACAAAAAAACGGCGGTCGTAACGGTAGTTGTTCACAGGCCGTTCTATACGACATCAGTAGAAGAATTTTAAGTTGCTCTAGCAGCAACAAATGCATCATTACTTTTATTCCCAAAGGTTTTATTATCTGGAAAATTCTTATATTACTTTTCAAAATGATATAGCGTGAGGATGAGAATATTCTATTTACTGACACCCACATGTTATGTTATTTTCAAAAGATAATAAAATAATTTTTATGGTAACAGAACCCTTGGGAATAAAAGTAATGATACATTTATTGCTGCTAGGGTAATTTAAAGTTTCCCTATAGGAGAAACTAAAATTTTAATTTGCCCTATAACATATGTTGATATTATTAAAATGTTTTTTTTTAAATTTCTTTGATTCTTTAGTTTTATCGAAAGAGTACATTAGTTCGACAAATATTGTCTGATTCTGGTCCATTAAATGAAATAGAGTATTGGAGAAAACAAATTATACAATTAAATCATCTTGTGAATCAACTTCGTTTACCTTCTAATCGAACTGTTATTTATTTACTTAATATTGCTGCAAATCCACGTTCAATTGTTTGTAGAAGAAATAATTCTATATAAGATTTTAATTAATAAAAATTTATATTTTAAGGAATGGAGAGAAATAGATAAAAAATTAACACAATGTATTAATGAAGCACGTGATCATTATAAATTTTTAATGATTGTTGCGAAACATATTGGACCACTATATCGTAATGATCCGGTAAATTTATTTTCTAGCTCTAACACTTCAATTTTGTAGGCAGATAAAATCAAGCGTTTTCTCGAGAATTAAATTCTCTATTGAAATAAGCTTCGTACCGCATTTTAATATTATTGCCTAGACTCATCACGATAAGATGCTCTTAATTAATTATCAAGAATAAATACATGACGTAATCTTTTGTCAATTGGTTTTGTTGAAACATCATTCAACAGTGCATAATAACGAGTGAAAAAACATACCACTAAGTTTGATCATATGGAAAGAAAGAGATGGAAGTACTTGTTGTTATAGTGTAAAAAAGATATTAAAAATAAAGAAACATTTTTTACAGATATTTCCTATGCGGTATTCATAAGAACCAGCGGTATACCGGTAGTAAATTGTTGATCAAAGGACAACTATCAGTATTCTACAATAGAATGGCTTTCATAAGATAATCACACTACCATCGGTATAGCACATATTGCACCAAACGGTTTATCGACAGTTTTATCCAGTTTGAATCACATGAATTCCTAGAAGCAGCGATTGAATGGTTTCTTTGATAACTTTTTACTAAAAACTTGATTCTATCTTACGACAAAATATACATTTGAAGGAAGGATAAATTTCTTCGTTAAGTTTTGCATAAATTCATTGTATAATAATAGTTTTAATCTCCAATTTATTTTAGCGTGAAATTCAAGAAAATCTTAATAGTCTTCTCAATACTATAGTTCTCATTAATTCATGTTCAGAATTTTATTCCAAACCAGAAAAAATTGCTAGTCTACTTGTTTCTGTAAGTATTTAAAATAATTTTGTTTTTTTATGTTATTTTATTATTTACTTTTCAGATAAACAATCAAATGGTAATTAGTTGTAAAAATTATTTAACTAATAATCATACAATTGATATTCGAATACTTGATAGAAAAGAATTATTAAAACGTATTGATTATATTCATAATTTATATAAAACATATCGTGAAATATTTATAAAAATTAAACAAAAAATTGAAAATCATTATTTAAATAACACTAATGATCATCTTTCAGAACATCATTTATTTGGTCAATTTGATTTTCTTAATCAACGTTTGACTAGTGTAAAGTTTTATCTTTGTTTTTTTAATATGAAATCAACTATAATTTGAATTTTTTTTTCTAATTAGCTTCGTGAAATAATTCAATCATTTGACATTTATTCTCTTCTATCAAAATCTCGAATGAATGGTCTTGAACAAATAACTTATATTTATAATAAAATTCAAACAGAATTTTTAACATTTAAATTTAATTTATTTGATTCAAATGATAAAAAATTTGATTTATTTTATAATCAATTAAATCATATTCTTTCTGATATTGATGTAATAGAAAAATTAATATTTATTTTGTTTTTCGTTTGAAATATTTTTTTATTTTATTATTATTCTAGCAAAAACTTTATCAAATATTAGATAAAGATCTTCATCATATACTTCATTCACCATCACATTATTCTTATAATGCATTAAAATTACTTTTACGTTATGAAAATTTACATATACCATTTTTTGATTCAATAGAATTTTTAATTGATATTATTCAATGGTATGAAAAAGAAGAACTTGAAGTAATTAAAAAAATAATAATTTTTTTGTTGAATTCTACATTATTTTATTTATATTTAGAAAGTAAAAATAATTTATAATCAATGTCGAAATATACCAAATATTGAACGAGATCATCCACTTATTATTGGTAAGAAATTATCGGAAAAAAAAAATTCTTTTTTTTTTTTTATTTGCTTTGTTTATTTTAGGTCGTATTTTATGGGCAAGACGAATGTATAAACGTATTCAAATATCTTATGTTGAATTTCTTAAACGTAATGAATTAAAAGATCATCCAATTATGAAAAAAATTACAGAAAATTTTCTTATGATTGTAAATGGATTTTCACTTTATGAACTTTTATATCATCGTCATTGGTTTGTTGAATTTATTTGTTTTTTTTTTTTTTAATTCTAATATTTTTTATATTTAGGTATAATACATTAGGTGATGTAGTTAATCTATTATGTAATCCACTTCTTATTCGACAAAATCTTATTCGACAATTATATATTAATTATGATCCATTTATTGATGTTATTTTACGTGAATGTGAATTATTAGCACGATATTCAATTACAATACCAGATTTAGGATATAAATTATTATTAGATAGAAATAGAATTCGATTTTATTATGAAAGATTAAAAGTATGTAAAATATAGAAGATGAATATATGCATGAAATTTACATTTTAATATTTTAGAAATTACTCAAAGATTTTTCGATTTTATTGGCTAAAGCACATCCAACTAGTTATGAATTAGTAGAAAAAGTCATGACACAAGTAAAGTAGTTATTGAAGATTGTTCTTTAATTTTTAATAAAATTTCGAATATTTTGGTCTTTTTAAGACATATCCAAATTCGATAACATGAGCTCTCTTACATAAAGATAATAATCTGATGATGAGAACCATCCTAATAGATTTTGTACTTTCAACTTTATATTTTCGCTATTAATAAATTTTAGTGGTTTTTGGACAAGTTTATTTTAAAGTTATCGGTTACAGCTTGATTGCGGACACTTTTTTCGACCAATTAAGAAAAAATGTCCGCAAAGTAGAGTCGAGATAGAGAGATAAAAATCTATGCATTATATAGAATTAAGGAAAAATTTATTATGTGAAGAAATGTAAAGATATAAGTAGTACAGGATAATTAAACATTTAATTATTTTTAGGTTCATAATCTAGATTATCTTTGTCTGATGGGTTCAATACATAAATGTATCGATAACAAAGAGAATGCAATCTGTTATGATAACTATTTAAATAATCTTGTTTTGCTTGAACTAAAATATTGTCATTATTAACTGATGTTAATCTTCTAGGACGTGTTGATCTTTTTTGAGCTTTTTCTTGTTCTAATCTAATCATTACTGATTCATCAGTCTCTTGGATGTATCTTATCAAAAGTCAAAGATCTGTTAATTTAAGAAATTGTTCGTGTATATTACATAAGTCTTCAATAATGTCATAAAAAGCATTACTAATTTCACCAGGTAATAACACTGGTAACGAGAAGACACGATTACGATTATGAACGATTTAAATTGTAAATAATTGCATTCGAATTGTTCTATATTCAAAAAGCTAATTTTCAATAGAATATTGTCTTCTGAAATAGTGATGGTGAGAGAGGAAGCTGAGCTCCCTTCGGAATCTTTTTAAAGTTTTTGCAGATAGTTGATGATCATTCATAGAAATAATATCACAGTATAGAATTTTCTGAGCTACAGAAATTTTTTCCAGCTTTCTATTAGTTGTTTATCAAAGACCATTAGATCACTCTCTCTTCTGAGGTTTAGAGTTAGATCTAAGATTCCGACAACCATATCTAACTAATTAAAAAAGAACACAGTCTTTAGAAATGCAGCCTGACAAACGTAGAACGGTGACAATACACAATGGATTCTTCAAACAAAACTAATATATATTATCGAAAATGTTCATTCCAGTCGCGCTAGTATAAAGACAGATTGTAATCACAATATTCTGTAGAGTATATTTTTCGATTCTCTGAAATGAAAGTACTTCCATTAAAATTCTTTTTTGGATTTTAGAAAGTTTTGCAGGGAAAGAGGCTGTGTCAGCACTACTCTATGTTTAATTCAATCGAAATGTAATTATTTTTCATCTTTCTATTTGTCATTTGATTAAGGTTGATAATACTCTTTCAATTGGTTTAAATCGTCTTAATTGGTTATCAAAAAATTTAGATGAATTATTTCTTCCAGCTGAAGAAAAAATTTCTTTAATGTCAGATTTTCTTAGTCAAATATCATCATTAATAATTCATCGTATAGAAGAACCAATAAATGAAGTATCTCGTTTTGAAATTCTTGAATTTCCTGATGATTCAATTGATTTTAAACAATTTATTAATGATATACGTCAACAAATTATATTTAAAGCTGAAAAACTTAATTCATTATCAATGCAAATTGAATCAGCTGTTTTACATGTTATACAAATGTTTTTTAATAAAATTGGTTATAAATCAAAACCATTTGAACAAAAAATTGGAGATATTGGTTATTTATTTCTATTAATAAAAAAATATCAAAGATAAAGATTAAAATTCTATGTTGTTTTTTTTGTTTTTGTTTGTATAGATTTAATGCAACTTTCATCAATGCAAAGATTAGCAATACAAATGTTTGTTCGAGATCCATTAAAATCAATAAGAAAATCAAAAAATCCAAATCAATTTATTCTTCAACCATCAAATGAATGGGAACGTTTTAATGAACTTTGTAATTAATTCTCTGGAGATAAATTATTTTGTGTAAAAAATAATTTCTTTTTTTCTTTTTTATCTTTCTTAGGTAATGAATTTCTTAGTTCATTTGAAGCTCGTTTAATTGAAGCATTAACATTATGTGCTAAAAATACATTTGAAATGATTAAAAATCGAGCTAATCCAACATTGTAAAATAATTTATATGTTTTTTTTCTATTAAATTCAAAAAAAATAAATAAAACAATATTCTTCTATTTAGAATTAAAATAAAATCTCGATTAAAAAAACTTCGATTATATTCTCTTGATACAAATGATGCAAATATTGATAGAAAAGATAATATTATAAATCCATTAATATTAACTAATGTTGAATTACATTCTTCTATTATTATATTAAATCCAAATATTGATGAAATTCAACAATTAATGCATCAATTAGTTAATTATGTTTTAAATATTTTTCATGGTGTACGAAAATGGGGTGAAGTACGACATATTGATAGTAAACTTATACATAATTATCCTATGCATGATTTTTCGGATTTATTACCAACAGATGAAACTTTAGAAATAAATAAAATGTCTGATAATGAAGAAGAAAATTTAAAACATATTGAACAAGGTAAACAAAAAAAGATTTGATGGATTAAAAAACTGAAATGAATGACTTATAAAATTTTAAAAGATAAGTCAGTATAAACTGTAGCCAAGAATACTGTTAATTTACAAAGACTAAATCTCAGATCGATTAGTTTTACATAGTTTTAAACTCTATTGTTAACAACGTTTTAAAAAAGGAATATGTTTCCAATGCTGCAAAGTGAAGAGAATGGATTTTGAGCGTTAAAAGACAAACGAGGGAATCACTTAAGATTGCAATAATATTTTTTAACTCATAGATACGTATCAAATTTTTAATATGTGTATTTTCTAAAGACTTCAGTTTTTTGGAAGACTCGTATTTTTGAATTTCGATCTGAAACTTCTTGCATATAGTAATGTATACAAACATTCAGTTTTTTTGAAAACTTCATATCTCGAAGAGACTTTCTTCAAAACTTCTAATTTCTTCGATAGATATCTATGAGTAAAAAGTCATTGAAATCGGAAGGGAGCAGTTGAAGAAGTTTAATTTCCATTAAATTTTATCCTGATAACAAATAGATTTAAATCAAAATTTAGTGAATTTCACTATGACGAGTATAATATTAAAATTCATAATAAACCTAAGTTGGAGCATATTTGACTACAAAATAGGTTAAGATTAAAGTGAATATCCGTAGAAATTTTCTCTCTAAAAAAACAGTCATTCGAGTACAGACCACAAGTTTTCAACTAACTTAAAGATCATGCTATTTACTAGCTACGTGATAGTTTTGTGTAGATGCTACTCAAAAATGACTTTGTTACCCCTGATACTTTACAGTACTTCGCGTCTTGAATCTTGCCAATTCTATATTAGATGATATAGGCAGAGATCTTCCTCACACGGACAGTGTCAAACAACATTAAAATAAACGTTACTCCAGTAGTATCAGATGACTGATCGATCCGCTAACAAACAGTCAACACTTCAATACTATGAAGGATGTGCCAGTTTCACTGGATGCAAAGAAGTATTTCCTAACGTTTGAAAATAGTTCTAAAGCGATCACTTGAGAAACTTAGGAAACAGACATCGACCGAATTGGTATGTTAAAAAGATTTTGTTAGGATATACTATAGGTATCTGATTATATCTTGCCTAATTAAATATTCTTTCGAAGTATTTCCAACTTTATATGATTGTTCATACACCAATATTCAAAAATGAAGCATTTCTGGTAAAGAAATATTATAGGACCACAAATATGATATAAAAATTTCTCCAGTTACTGCTAGGCGTGGCTGCATCGTTCACCAAAAAGGCTCTCTGATAGTGACTGCCATAGCCACTATTTTGGAACTGTCGTTGTCCTTCACACCGACTCCATCTCGTGTTATAGACGCGATGCATATCTTTGACTCACACACTTCATCGATGTGTTTAATGATTTTTGAAATTTTATCATGATGACACAAATCAATTCATCAATATTTTGTATAATTTTATCTATTTCTAGCCAAAACATATTACAATACAATAGCAAATAATAAAGAATTAACTAAATTATATCAAAATATTGGAACGTTTTTTATAGAAAATCATATTCGGTAAGATTTAATTTTTTCTGTATTAATCAATTAATTTTTTATTTTAATATGAAAAGATTCGAAAAAGAATTAGAAGAATATTATGAATTTCGTGATTTATGGGAAATGAATAAAATAAATCAAGCAAAAAAATTTATATTAGCCAATCCAAGTTATGCTTCTGTTCGATCAATATTTGCTGATTTTGATGATACACGAGATTTAATTAAACGAATACCTGAATCAAAAGATATTGAACCATTTCGTTATTTAACAAATAAATTAAAATTAAATTTATTTGATGAAATTCGACAACTTGAATTAATATTTGCAAAATATATTCGAATACATTATCGAATGAAATTTATGAGTATTAATGATTTTTTTAAAAAAACTGAACCACGTTTAAATCGACAATTAAGAGATCTTGATGATGTACGATTTGTTATTAATGCACTTGATACATTAAAAGAAAATTTTGTATTTGTTGATCATACTATTGAACCATTAGAAGTAAGATATTTTGAATTATTATCATAACATTGATTTATAGACAAGACATATAGTACATAAGATCTATATAGATTGATCAATCAAAATGAAAATCTATCATCCTATATACGCTTGCTTTGAGGAAAAAAAAACTTGTTTAAGTAGATTGTGAAGCATTGCAATATTACGACGCCGTTATTCCTTAATGACAAAAAGAATTATAATGGATGGTGTTCTGAGTATTATAACTTAAAAGAGAGATTGCCTACAAAATTTTGCGTTGTTTCTTAATAAAAATATGACTAATTGTCGATATTTTTTCATGTAACTGAATTCCCATCTGTAGTCTGTCTTCACTTAAAATAAAAGTTTATTTGCTCGAATATTGACGTTTTGTGGATTCTTGAAATAAACAAGATTATCATCTACGTTTCATTTCTCTTTAGTGCAAAATTAGCTTTTGAAACTCCAATGGGCACTCAATAGTTTTTATTGAAGAGTCAGCGGATACAAAATACTCTTCCTTTTCAGAGTTATGAGGCTGACAATAAAAATAGATGTCATCCATTGTTACTTCCTTTGTAATTAAGCAATAATGGCGTCGCAATGCCAACTAACTACATTCTTGCCCACGCATGAGTGCATCACGTGTCTCTTTCGTATTTTGCTTTGTGAAGACGTTTCGCTAGAACTACTTCATTTTTTCAGTATTCATCCAGGAGCTCCTCTAAACCATGAGTTGGTGATTTACAGAATATGAATGAAGCAAAAAGTATCTATCTGCTTTCGTTGAACATATCATTTATCTTTGAATTATTATTATTTTGTTTTTTGTTAAATAAAGGAAGTTTATAATTTATTCAAACGTTATTCAATTGATATTCCACAAGAAGAACAAATGGCTATTGAAATGCTTCGTAGTACTAATGAACGTCTACTTAAACGAGCTAAACATGTTACACATGATCTTGTTAATTCTCAACAATCATTTCTTGATCGTTTTCTAATTGATATAAAACAATTTCAAAATGATATTATAGATTTTGTTAATGATTATGATAATAATGGTCCAATGATTGAAGGTTTACCAGCACAAGAAGCAAGTGATCGTTTAACACATTTTGAATCACGTTTTAATGATTTATGGAAACGTTATGAAACATTTGTAGCTGGTGAAGAATTATTTGGTTTAAATAAAACCGAATATATTCATTTACAAACAATTAAAAAACAACTTAATTATCTTAAACGTCTTTATGGTCTTTATAATGATGTTATAAAAACAATGGAAATATATTATGAAACAAATTGGAAAGATTTTCATATTGATCACATTACAAATGAAATACAAGAATTTCAAAGTAAATACACAATTGATCAAAAATATAAGACCAACGCTAGCAGCACTCAACCATCCAGAAATTGGAAATTCAACATCAGTTGAGGTGGAATTTGAGAGAATTTAAGGCATTCTACATTGAGAATGACACTCGAAACACCTTGATACACAATCCCAAACTAGGAGCTCCAAATACTGAATCCCATTTGATTTCCAATTCCTGAACCAGAGTTACCGATTAGGGAGAATTGGAGCTATCCCCAAAACGTTCAGAGGGGAAGGTCGTTTCACTTATCATGTCATCACTAGGAGATCGAGATCGGTCAAAAGATGACAGGGGCGCGGAAAGTTATGGCCGACTGATGACGCGATCATATTGAGAGGAACGGACACGGTCTGCTGTCAGGTCGACAGTTGGTATCGTTCTTCCTCCCTGATCATTAGTTTTCACACCGTGGAAATAAGAGCACTTTATGCCAAAATTTTGGCTTCCCACCACTCTTGCAAACAATCGATAACACTGTTTTGAATAGTGGGTGTATTGCTGGATTTGAGTTAAATACTTGGTATCGTAGAAAAAAAAAACATAAAAAATACAGTGGTCTTATATTTTAGATCAGTAATATAATAATCGATATATGATTACGATTTTTTTTTTCTTTAGATAAAATGAAAAAATTACCAAAAGGTTTAAAAACATGGCCAGCTTATAGTGAATTAAAGAAAAAATTAGATAATTTTAATGAATGTTTACCGCTACTTGAATTATTAATTAATCCAGCTATGCAGGTAATTAAATTAATTTTAAAGAAATAAAAATAAAAAAATTTCTTTTTCGATAGTCTCGTCATTGGGAACGAATAGAAAAATTAGCTCAAATTTCTATACCACATGATGATCCATCTATATTTTCATTAAAACATGTTATGAATGTTCCATTAATAAAATATCGTGAAGATATTGAAGATATATCAATAACAGCACAAAAAGAACGTGATATTGAATCAAAATTATTTTCAATTGAATATGAATGGCGTCAACGAGAATTTAAATTTACATTATTTAAAAATCGTGGTGAACTTTTATTACGTGGACAAGAAACATCTGAAATACTTTCAGCTATTGATGATTCAAATTTAATTTTAGCTGCATTAGCATCAAATCGTTATAATATTTTTTTTAAAAATCAAATACAAAAATATATTGCTGATTTAGCAATTTGTGCTGAAATATTAACAAAATGGATGCAAGTACAAAATTTATGGATTTATTTAGGTAAATCAAAGTATCTATTTCCTTTAATCAGAAAGTATGAAGGATATAGATCTTGAACAATTGCTCACATCAATACGAGTGCGAGCGTCGATAAAGACAAGACCCACACCCATAAGCTGATTTTTCCATTTACGAGGGAGGATCCCCAAATGTGACTCGTCATATTTTGTTTATAAGTAGGCTCCGACGAGATTAGTAGAAACTTATGAGTGTTCGTCCCAAGTTATTACAATTTTACTGAATTATTTTATCTTTGACAAGATATTTGGGAAAAAGATCGAATTACGAAATTTCAATCTGAAATTTTGTCTATGGGTAGATCTCATCGACCTAAGAATACTTTGAAAATTTCAGTCAAAAAAAATGTGTTGTTCTTGAGATTGCGAATATTGAAAACATTGAACTTTCCTTGTGATATATGATTGTTTTTGGATATCCCATTAGACTGAAATTTTCGGAGTATCCTAAGGTCTACGAGATCTACCAATGGAAAAAAATTCAGATTGAAATTTCTCAATTTGGTTTTTGCACAAATACTTTGCCGAAGATTAAAAAATTCAGTAAAATCCTAATGACTTAGGAAGGGCATCGCGTAGGGACCAACTCGAATACAGTAATCTTTAGAAATATTACGTATCGCCCTTATCTATCCACAACTTTCAATTAACATTATTTAACAGTTAGGTATTGCTCACTACAAATTTTAGAATACATTGCGATAGTATTCAAAAAGATGTTTCGAATTTTACTGATGTGAATATTGACTTACAATTGTTGTTATTAATCTATGAGATTCATTCAGTCTCTGAGTATGGTATTAGTAAAAGATTTGCCGTGGCCCACGCTGACAAGAATTGTCGAAAACGTGAGTATTACTGCCACACTGCCATGAATATCTCTGATAGATAGATTGATAATAATTATCTCAAATAAATTATTTTTAGTTTATTTATTATGTCGAGACTAGTTTATGTTTCGTTTGCTTACGATTAAATTTTGAAAATTTTTTTACAGCTTATATATCTTTCATAGACAAACTAATAAAACATATGTCGTATTCCTAGCCTATTTTTGGCATGTACGCATGTACCTATGCATTATCGATATACTTTCTTCTCATTGTGTGATGATATTCATACAAGATAAATAAGTATTATTCATTCATATTAAACATTTCTATAAAAAAAAGACAACTAAATTGATAACAACTAGATTGAAAATTGTAGTTCGAAAATGTAGGATTGCGTACTAATATATACAGGGAGGAACAAACTGATTTCAATAGCTGAAATCAATGAAATCACTCCAAATCATACGTAGAGATATAACAATACGATACCATAATGGAGTATTGATCAATCAGATTTCAGCAGGGTTTTTCCCTATTACAAGGATTAAACATAGTGTTGTTTGGGCCAATCATGGGGTTATCTGGGGTTCCCTTTATACGATCCTCATAACTCCTTGATGCATTCATATTGGAGTAAAGAAAAAGATGAGAGGTACATCCCCTAATCAGACGAAATCAGTTTGTTCTCCCTTAAATATACATACAGATTGTTAACCTTCAAGTCTCTATGATTGATCGCAATCACCAAACGGTGCATATAACCATAAAATACTATAAGTGTTCTATTTGTCTATATAGAAGCAGTATTTGTTGGTGGTGATATTGGTAAACAAATGCCACAAGAAGCACGTCGTTTTGCTAATGTAGACAAAACATGGATTAAATTGATGTCAAAAGCAAAAGTAAATTTCTGAGGAAACGAAATTATATCTGAAAATTTTTCTATTGATATGCACAAATACTTTTTTTGTTTGTATTTTTGATAGGAAAATTCCAATGTATTATCATGTTGTACATCAGATGAAACATTATTTCCATTATTAAATAATATGCTTGAACAATTAGAACTTTGTCAAAAAAGTCTTGCTGGTTATTTAGAAACAAAACGTGGTGTATTTCCAAGATTTTATTTTTTATCTGATCCAGTTATGCTTGAAATTCTTGGTCAAGCATCAGATCCAACAAAAATTCAACCATATCTTAGTTCATTTACTGAAGCTGTAAAAAGATTATTTAATTATTATTTTGTCTTTTATTATTAATTTAGGTTAAATTTGTTGAATTTCATGTTAAAGAAACTGATCGTATTTTATCTATGACAACACGAGATGGTATTTGTTTTCTAAATGGCTAAATCATAAATATTACATGTCTTTGTTTTTTGTTTTATTAACTAGATGAGAAAATTCCATTTTATAAAGATGTTATAGCAAAAGGTCAAGTTGAAGAATGGTTAAATGATTTTATACGTACACATCAAAAAACAATTCATCAATATATTCGATATAGTATAGAAAAAATGACTTATGAAGATTTTGATTTATATAAATTTATTGAACAAGAAATAGCTCAATTAGGTCTTTTAATTGTTCAAATTATTTGGACAAAAGGAAGTGAAAAAGCATTACAAGAATCAATAATTAATAAAAATCTGATGAATGAAACAAATAAATATTTTTTAGATATACTTAATCAATTTATTGATAAAACAACTTGTAGGAATTTTTTTTTCTCTCTTGATTGTAATAAAATTTATTCTCGTTTTTCTTTTTGTTTATCTTTCTAAAGTCGATCTAACAAAATATCAAAGATTAAAATATGAAACATTAATAACTATTCATCTTCATCAACGTGATATTTTTCAAGAACTTTATACAACAGGAATACGATCAGATTTAGATTTTGATTGGGCTAAACAATGTAGATTTTATTTTCGTGAAGATGAAGATTTACTTCTTGTGAAAATTACTGATGTTACTTTTATATATGATAATGAAGCATTAGGATGTCCTGAAAGACTTGTTATTACACCTCTTACTGATCGGTAAAAAGAATAAATAACATAAAAGAGAATATGATTATCATTCTTGTAGATGTTATATCTCTATTGCACAAGCATTAGGTATATATATATATATTACAGTATTAAAATGTCATATTGAATTATATTCAATAACTTTTTCTTTTAGCTATGTCATATGGAGCAAGTCCTGCTGGACCAGGTAATAGCAAATCATGTTATATTAGTTTTTATAACCTCGAGAAAAATCTCCTCTTGTTTGTATAACAAATTTATCAAACTATTTTTCTAGTCTGTATTCCCTAGACTGACAGGATAGGATCTGGGAACAGAAATTCACCGGTGTCTGTCTGTCTGCAACCTGTGGTACAAGTGACTACAATGATGGTGCAGATAACCATAGTCATGGTACAAGTGACCATATCGATGATATAAATAATCACATATTTGGTCATGTATACCATGAGTATGAACAATCGTACCATCGTTTTGGATACTCGTGCCAGCTCGTTGGTCATTGACCAACGAGAGAACACAAGTAACCAAAAATATTACAAAAATGATTAAAATTTTAGTTCAACTGTGATAAATATAGCCGACATTATTGAAACTGATCATATGGTTATTGTATTACAGACGGGCAGATAGAGGTGAAAATCCATTCATAGAGTATTATGTCAGTCTAGGATAAAGCGAATCGACTGTCGATGAATTTTACTTGTGATATTGTTCATATATTAATCTTGTATTCGTAGAATTCTATCAGAAGTTTTCATGAACGAACAAATACTTGTATGTGCCACTTCATTATTTACATCTCTGGAACTTAATATGACATTATCTGAATGAGTTCATGATGCCAATGAATTATAAAATAAATTAAATTTCTCTATTTTTCAGAACAGATTCATTTGTATGATCTATAGAAATTTTGTGAAACATGATCTCAAAGGAGTATTGAAGTATATAGAGTAGAAATTTTCATCGCCTATCCTTCTCCAATAAGTGTATAACAATAACGGAGAGCTACAATAATATCAACTACTTCTTTATTACACTTCTGAAAGATTAAGTAAAAGAAGGATGAAGAAAAAATATCCCAAAATAGATAAAATAAAACGATCGGCCTGTGATTCATTTCAATCCCTCAGAGATTATACTAACAGATTTTTCAGGAAAAATTCATTTGTAAGAACTATAGAAATATATGAGTTCAAGATTTGTAAGAAACTCTAGTTAGCTCACACTAGATCTATACCAGTATATTAAGATCTATAAAAATCTACTAATCTTAGTTCATATTTGTACGTCTGTGTTTCCATCCTCTCATTGTTGCAGAAAAATCAGTATGTCAAGTTTTATATCTTACTAAAGAAAAGTTGACTAGTCTTAGCATTAAAATCCAAATGTGTCAATGATACCATGTGAAAAATAATTAGATATGTATGGAAAGTTTAAATATGTTGCTAAGAATAGTAAAATTTTTGAAATATGAAAATTAAAAGTTCTTCTTTTAACTGTCAGTTTTATGATTTTCTTTGTTTAGCTGGAACAGGCAAAACTGAAACAACAAAAGATATGGCTCGAACATTAGGAAAATATTGTATAGTACAAAATTGTTCTGATCAATTTGATTATCGTGGTCTTGGTAAAACATTTAAAGGTTTAGCAATAAGCGGTTGTTGGGGATGTTTTGATGAGTAAGAAATTCTGTTTGTCTTTTTCTTCTATATTATTGTATTGTTTTTTAATCTATTATAAATAAATTAGATTTAATCGAATAAATTTACCTGTTCTATCTGTCGCAGCACAACAAATTCAATGTTTATTACAAGCAAAACGTGAAAGACGTAAAGAATTTCTTTTTACTGATGGTGATAAAATTATATTAAATGATACATTTGCTATAATCATAACTATGAATCCTGGTTATGCTGGTCGACAAGAATTACCAGAAAATTTAAAAATTAATTTTCGTAGTATTGGTAAATAAAAATTGTTTGTTTTTTTGTTTTGAACAATAAAATAAATATTTTATTTTTTTTTAAAGCTATGATGGTACCTGATCGACAAATAATAATGCGAGTTAAATTAGCTAGTGGTGGATTTTTAGATAATACAAATCTTGCACAAAAATTTTTTACTCTTTATAAATGTTGTGAAGATCAATTGAGTAAACAAGTAAGATAAAATATTTAATTATTAGAAGAGAAATTTTTGTTTTTACGAATTTTATTTCTAACTAAGGTTCATTATGATTATGGTTTACGAAATATAACAGCTGTTCTTCGAACACTTGGAACAGTAAAACGTACTCGTTCAAAAGATCCTGAAGATACAA